TCATAAACTCATCTAAAACTAATTATCTCCCAAAAGACCCATCTCCAAATGCCATCACATTGTGAGTTAGGGCTTCAACATATGAATTTTGAGGGGACACAATTCAGTCCATAGCACCATTCATTGGGTAATGGATGACTTATTCTGTTTTCTGTTGCTATAACAGAATACTACAGACTGGGTCATTTATAAAGAAAAAAATGTTTATTTGGCCCATGGTTCTGGAGGCTGGGAAGTCCAAGACCATGGTGCATCTGGTGAGGGTCAGACCATGGTGAAAGGCATCACATGGTGAATGGCATCACATGGTGAACAAGAATGCAAGACACAGAGAGAAAAATGGGGTTGAACTTCTCATTTTTTTAAAATCAGGAACCCACTCCTAAGATAACTAACCCGCTCCCACCATAATAGGACTAATCCTTTTATCATGACCTAATCACCTCTTTAAAAGTCCTGAAAGAAAAAGATTGCCAACCAATAATTCTGTATCCACAAAACTGTTTTCTAAAACTGAAGAAGAAATAAAGACATTTCTAGATAAACAAAAACTAAGAATCTGCCCTATAAGAAACACTAATGAGAATCCTTTAGACAGAAATGAAAGGCCATTAGATAGTAACTCAAATCTATAGGGAAATTAAACTTTAAAACTCCTAAATAACTAATAGGTCAAAGAAGAAATCATAATTGAAATTAGAAAATAACTTGAGATGAATGAAAATGAAAACACAATATACCAAAACTTATAGGATGCAGCTGAACCAGTGCTTAGCATAAAATTTCTAGGTGTAAATGCCTATATATATTTTTTTAAAAACTCAAGTGAATAACTTACACTCCCACTGTAGGAAATAAGAAAAAAAGACCAAACTAAACCCAAAGGAAGTAGAAGAAAAAAATAATAAATATTAGAATGGAATTAAATAAAATTAAGAATATAAAAGTAATAGAGAAAAAAATCAATAAATCCAAAAGTGGGGTTCCCCCTCCTTTTTGTGACCCAAAAGTTAGTTCTTTCAAAAGATGAATAAGACAGACAAACTTTTAGCTAGATTAACATGGGAGAAAAATGAGATAAAAGTTCAAATTATTATCTGGGTGCAGCAGTGTGTGCCTAAGTCACAGCTACCTGGGAGGCTGAGGGAGGAGGTTCTCTTGAGCCCAGAAGTCTGAGTCCAGACTGGGCAACATAGTGAGACTCAGTCTCTAAAGAAATTAATTAATTAATTAATTAAAGGGGAAAAAACTCTCAAATTACTAAAACTTAGAATGATTGAGGAGACATCACTACTGACCTTACAGAAATAAGTAGGATAATAAGAGTGCAATATTATAATAGATATATATTTGGTCTTCATCCCAGGTTCTTGGCATAGAACTCCTAAAATGCTTGTAATTTGCTTAGTGATAGGGTGACAGGAGCTTCTTTTGTTATAATATTTGGTCTTAGTCCAAGATTCCTGACACAAGAGCTTCTAAAACCCTTGGAATTTCCTGAATGATAGAGTTGATAGGAGTGCTCTTGTTATTCATAACAAGCCACTTTTAACCATACCTTAATTTATGGTAATGAGGTGACTCTTTGTTTTGGGGGAGGAGGAGCACCCTAGACAGCTTCAGGATGGGGGCTGTTTGCCTGAGGAACCAACCCTGTGATTAAAGGGTTGTAAATCTCAACCCAACCCTCTGACCTCTAGGAAGGGAGAAGTGCTGGAGGGTGAGTTCAATCACCAAGGGCCAATAATTTTTTATCAACCATGCCTAGGTAATGGAACCTCCATGAAAAGTTCCTGAGACCTGGATAGAGGAAAGCACTTTTCCCTCATCTTCCTTGTATTTATTGTCCTGACTAGTGCAGTGACAACTTGGCAAAGCCCTGGAGAAGGTGAGAGAGTGAGCCAGGAGGTTATCTTGGGGCAAGAACATTCCAGGCAGAGGACCAAATGAGGCAGGATCTGTCAAGCACCAGGGCCAGCCCTTAAGGTTAGTGCCTTTCTGAACCCTGTGGCCCCGTGGCCCCTATCAACTTATCCTCCTGCCGTGTCTGGCTCCTTCATGCCCCTGTGCCTGAGCACACACTATTCCCCCAGCCAGGGTGCCCTTCTCCCCTGGGAGAAAACACTCCCTCCATCTCTGGTGTCACCCCTTCCCCGAATACAACAGGAAGAGTCACTGACAGTGTTCTGTGCCCCCCGAACATTTGTCACATTGTGTTGTGATTATGTTTTCATGTCTGTCTCCCTCGCTGGACTAAGAGTTTCTCACTCATCCCTGGTCTTGCCTGGTGCCAGAACCTTCTTTAAGACAGAGGAGTGCTCAGGAAATAGGTGTTGAATGAGGGAATACATATAGACATAAACATTCTTATGGTCAAGCTGGAATAACCTGGGTTGAAAAATAATGCAGGTAGAAGAATCTAAGATTACAGATTATAGATTTGAAAACAACTTTATTTTATTGTGCAAATAATCTACAAATTTGAAACACACTCTATCAAGAAAGAAACTTTGCTCTTAGGAAAGGGAATGGGAGAAGGCGGCCCCACAAATAGCTTAAAGTTCTAAAAAATTTCAAAGAACACCACTGGACAATTGTTTGGAGGAGTCCCTCCTTAAGACTCTGCCCTTTTTTGGCCACCTATTCAAAGGACTTTTTTATGAACAAAGTGAGACATTACTTTTGTTTTCTTGAATCCTAAAGTGATTTTCTTGAGTCTCATTAGACTCCTCTCAGGTGTTTTTTGGCCCACTCCATTCCAGAAACAAAACACGAACTGAAGACTCAGCCAGATCCCACGTCCGGTAACAACTTAAAATTAAATCACCCTTAACAATTCAACTCCAAAACCAACTCTAGAACTAAGTAACTCCAATGCCAAGTGTGCTGGATATTGAGCTGTGATTTCTCAGCTTCCACTCTACTCTTCCATTGTCTGCTTTGCTGGGCAGGCCACACCATGTTCCTTCCTGTGTGCCTGGGCTTGGGTCTGCATTCCCCTAGTCTTCACCCTGAGAGTGACAGTTGGTTCCAGTAGCAGCAGTGGGTTCCAGTTTGCCATTTCCCCAACGCTCCCATAAGCAGCCTCATGATGCCCCCTTCAGAGATACCAGCTGGGCTGGGCTGGTCCCTCCTCAGAGTTCTGCATCCGGCTCCTAGACCCCGAGCTCCTGAGCCACCTGTGCCATCGGCAGTGCCTCCTCCTCTGTGGACTAACCCCCAGCCTTGAGCCCACCTCTAAGCTTCTGAGTTTTGATAATTCCAACCTCTTCTCTTTGTTCTCTTAGCTCTTGGGGTGCTAACTACTTCTTGAAGTTGAAACCTCCATGATACTTCAATATCATCTTTTATTGCCTTTTAGTTCTCCAATAGTTGAGTAATAATTCTTAATATTAAATTCTCTCTGTTAAAATAACTGATATTGTGTCTCCTGATTGTACTCTGACTGATGGATCAAGTAATTCTGACTCTAAATAATTTTGAAAACAAATCTAAAAATGAAATAAATAAAAATAAAGAACAGGATAAAAATTTTAAATGGCAAAGACATACTAAAAAGAAGTAACTGAGAATAAGTGACTCTGAAAGTAACTCAGTACTAAATATCTCTGAAAATAAAAAATTCAGAAAATATAATGTTAAAAATGAAATAACTCTGAAAATGCAAGAATTAAAAACCAAATATAATAACTCAAAAAAAGATGTAAAATTAAATAACTCAGAATCTAAAATAACTGAAAAAGAAAATACCTGTGAACATAAGAAACTCTAAAACTAAATAACTAGGGGAAAACCCCTTAAAATAACTAAAAACATTTCACTCTGGAAATAAATAAGTCTACAGTAATTAAAAAACTTCCAGTGAGTTTTTAATAGTCAAATAAGTAACTGTAAAAATAAATAGCTCAAAACCTCCAATAACTAAAAATGGAATAATTAGAAAAATAAATAACTCAGATAATAATTGTAAAGATAGATTATTAAAAATAAATTCTAAGTGAATTATTAATAACTTGAAAATTTATAATTCCTAAAAATATGCATAAATAACTGAAAACGAATAATTAAAAAACTAAATAACGTTGAAAATAAAATAATTATAAACTGGTAACTAAAGCTATAAAATTAAGTAACTAGAAAGCTAAAAATGAATGAAAATTAACTAATAAAACTAAAAATGGGAAAAACTAAAAGTAACTAAAACTAATTCAAAAACTAATAAATCTATACCTAAATATCTCAGAAATTAACTTGAAACCAACCTCTCTCTGAAAGAAACGGTCTTAGAACTAACACAGGCACTACCTTAACATTCTCGCGAGGATCCTGGGAGGGGAGCAGCTCCCGGCCTGTGGCCCCTGTCGCGTCTGAGCTGCTCAGGCGCCTCCAAGGCTCAGCCTCAGTGGCTCTCAACTGATCCCCACTCTACCCTGGGAGAAATTTGGGAATGTCTGAAGGCAGTTTTGCTTGTCACAATTTGGAGGTGAGGGACAGGGGTGGCGCGCTGCTTGCACCGGTGGGTAGAGGCCAGGGATGCCGCTAAGCATCCTTCGATGCACAGAACGGCCCCGCAACAAAGCATTACCCGGCCCCACATGTCCAAGTGCAGAGGTTGAGATCTCAGAGTGCGGAGGCGGAGCCCTCCAGGAGTGGGCTGTGGGCTGCTCTCTTCTAAGCGGGCGCGTTAGGGAGGAGCCGAGGCCCCTCTGCAGCCTCTCCCTGGAACGCAGACGGCGCGGGCGCCGGGCCGAGCGCAGGAGCGACGGCTGCCCGCGGGAGGCTCAGTTCTGCGGGGAGGGCGTCCTCGGGCCTCCCGCCCGCGCCTGCGCCGCCTCTGCGCCCGGTCCGGCCGTCTCCCCCGCGGGAGCGAGCTCGCCAGTGCGCACCCCGACGCGCTCCTCGGCGCTGGCCCTGAAATTCCAAGAAGACAGTCAGAGGAGCAACGGCTGCAGACTCGCGGGCTTTTCTGTCCCCTGTACACTCACGTTTCCTCCGCATTCGCAGTTGCGGTCTCCTCCCTGGGTGCTTTCTCCCGTCTCCAGGAAAACCGATTTGGAGAGACGGGTTTCAGAGCTGTCGTCCGACTGGAAGAGCCCGGCGAGCTGGAAGGGAGGGGGCGAGGTGCACACTCGGAGTCAGCAGTGGTGTCCGGGCCGCGCGAGGCGGTCCCGCTGCCAGGTGGGGCCTCCCCAGCTCTCCCTCCCCCCGCCGCCTCAGGTTCCCTGCGGGGGAGCCGGGTTGGGACCAGACAGTGTGGGGGGGCGGCTGGCGGGGGGAGGCTCTAGAGCTCTCTCCAGGGTCAGGGACCTCCGCTTGCTGGCTTAGGGCAGGTCCCTATGGGATGAATCACAAGAAGGAGGGAGAGAGGGAACGAGGAGAGGAGGGGAGGCGGGAGGAGCCGGTGAACAGGAATGCGGGAGAGCATGAAGACAAGAAGGAAACAAGTTACGCTGAGAGCGCTGTTCTCCTTTTCCATGTCTTCTGCACCTTCACACTCTTCCGTGGAGATAAACTCCCTGCTGGAGCATCCTTGGGGAGAGAAAGGGAAGGACTGTCCCTCTGCCCCTGGCACGTAGCGGGCAGTGCCTGTCTCTGGCACGGCCTCCCCATCTCCAACTCCTGCTGCCCCAGGGCCTCCATCTGGGCCCTGGGGGTCTGTGATCTCCAGGTTACCTTTCCAGCCCTGAAACGCTGTAGCTGTGACAGAGAAGAAATGCCCAAGCGGTGTTCATAGCTAGCCCTACTCCCTGCTCCTCCAAGAAAGCAGTCATTGTCTTCTCCTCTTTACCAATCTTCTTACCTTCCCCCCTTCCTTCCCTCTCTTCTTCCCACTCTTCCCCCGTCCTTGCTTCCTTTACTCTGATAATTAATGTCCATTTCCCTTCTCCCTGGCAGCCTCTGCCAAGTGTCACTGCTCCATATGGGAAAATCAGAAGAACAAGCAAGTACATCCTGTCTCTCTGGCTGATGAATAGATTGCTTAGCCATCAGTCGTGCCTATGGCACACCTATCACATTCCCTGGGCTGTGTTGGACACTGTGGGGAACAGCAGCCACCGCCAAAACTGAGCAACTGCCTGTGCCTGGTGGGATGTTGGGCGTTTGTCAAAATTTAAGCTTCACAACAACCCTGTAATGGTTTCAGTCCTATTTACAGATGGGGAAACTGAAATAAGACAGCAACAGTCACGTGGCCACGTTCTCTTGGCCTGTAGGCATTGCAGCTGGATTCTCCAATATTCCTGCTCTTTCCCCCCATTCTATGTAAGACGTGGTCTCTGCCCCACAGTGTTCACAAGTCAGGTTAGGGAGCTGGGCCTCTGCATCAAGATCCCCACATTCAGCTGCCCCAGACTGAGGGTCAGCTGAATAACCTATTACCCAGGAATCAGAGTGCTGGCTGTGTGTATGGGGAAGTTTCTGTTCAGGTGAGAATCTAGGGGGAGGGGTTTGGGCAGGCCTTGAAGGGCAGAGGCATGGCTGGAGGGCAGGTACCCTGCAGCACAGGGGCTAGGAGGTCAAAACAGGCCTTTTGAGGGCAAGTCTCTTCTGAGACAACCTGCAGCTGCCCTGGCTGTGCCCTCGTGTACCTCCCCCATGGGCCCCAGGCTCTGGGCAGCAGAGACAATATCCTATTCACTTGGTATCCCCCATGGCTCCAGGGAGAAATCCAGAATTCTTAGAACCTGCAAACCTTAAAGAACATCTTGCAGTCAAAGCCCTGGTTTACAGAGGGGAAAGTGCGGCTCCCAGGACATCCAGCCAGTGGCGGTCATTGACCACCAGGCTGTGGGCACGTTGGGGACTGGCTCAAGGACCTGTGGGGGCTCAGGATCCGAGCCAGAACCAGGACTGGGGTGTCCTGCTCCTCCCAGGCCATGTTCCCTCCCTTACCCAGGTCCTTCCAGTCCTGCCTGGGCTGCCATTTGCTCTGTCTTCAGTCATCTGCGTATTTAATCTCCTCCTGGATTCCCTGGCTCTGTGGTCCTAAGTGTCTTAGGTACTAAGGAGCTGGCAGCACTGAGGGGACCCCAGAATCTCAGACTCAGGGTCTGGCCAGTCACAGGCATGTGAGTGAACAAACGAGAGGCCCATCGCCCAGTGGTAGAAGGGGCTTTGCAGTCAGTCAGACATGAGTGCAATTCTGACTGCCACTCACTAGCTGTGTGAACCTGGGTCAGTCACTTAACCTGTCTGATCATCGCTTTCCTTATCTCTAAAATGGGGACAATAATATCTATTTTGCAGTGTTGGCATGAGGATTAGCAAAAATGTTGATAACATAAAATGTCTGATACATCATAGGGGTTCAATAAGTAACATCTGTTATGATTATTGTTGATAGTAATTACAATAATACTAAAGAGAAGGTCTCAGAACAGCTCTGAGCACTCCAGGTGTTCTATTATTACTTAAATTTAGGGGAGATTTATTTGCCATCATCTCATCTTCATAAACACCCAGGGAATGAAACAAATTACAAGGATAATAAATAGCTTTAAAAAGAAACACAGTACAAAGACACATGCCCCCTCAGAAAAACCAAACCAAACACATATAATTTTGATGAGTATTCAATCTGATTATAGCAAAGTCATCCATGCATTCTTGGAAAATGAATGGAATGACTCTAGTCCCAACCAAGGTCTAGCAGTATGTTGGGCAGATATACCCTGAGTCTCTGTGGCACTTGCAGTCCATGTACCAGAATAAACATACATTGTTGGTGGAAAAGGACAAGAAGAATGGGAAAGGTGTCCATGAAGATTCATGCTGATAAGGACTAAGGGGTATTCTCTTTCCCCTTAGTGGATGATCTTTGCAGCACACATCATGTAAATTCTAAATGGTTCAAGGAATCTAGTTTTAGCATTTAGTGTCTATAATTGTAAGTTTTTATTTTGCTTAGGCAAATTAAATGAAATTTATTAACAAGTGAACTCATTAGTGACTTTAAATTATTCTCATCAGAATACATATTTTTTGCAAATTATAGACTTTGAAGACAAAATCATGGCTTTTCCCTGGCTGTCCACTGGAGGGCACAAATGGACCACTGTAGAGCCTGCCAAAGGGCTCAGTAACTCATCAAAAGAGAGAAAGCTGGATTTGAGCCAACGTCTGTAAGATCTGAGTTTGAACCCTTTATCCTTATGCTGTGCTGCTAACCAAGCTCCCTCCTGTCTTCTAGGATTTAACATGTGGCGTCATTTTCTGCCTGATCCATTCTAGTAGCTGCTTAGAGCTCACAACAGGAGAGAGTTTCAGAATGTTCCAAGAGATACCAGGCTGAATTAGGATCTTTTGCTTGGTGATCCAGAGTATAAAATTGAATGTCTAGGCTGCTGTATAGTTGAAGTGTCTATTTCATTTGCCAAGAGGGAGTATTTGGCCAAGAAGGAGTGAATCATTCCTAAGCATTCAATTAGTTGCTTTCAGATTCTACATATTCTCAGGGCACATTGCTTTTGGTGCATTTTCTGTTGTCAAAGTCCTTAGCAATTTCCAGGGCTGTCTGAGCTGGCTGTCTTAGACTTTCAGAGCTACTGAGAGCTGGGGTGAAAGAAACTTTGCTGTTGGGAAACTATCTCCTAGCTCAGCAACCACTGCCCTCAATTTGTGTGGGTTAGGGTGGGCCCCAAGGTGCATGATAGGAGTGAAGGACAAGCCAGAATGTCTAGTTGGGTTTAGTCAAAGCCTTGCTCATTTTGTCAGAGATTTAATGGAAAATTTTCCATAAAATTAAAATATAAAACCACCCAAACTTTAGTATGGCTCCAATTTTTAAACAATCCTGCATTTCTATAGACAGAAAGTCTGTGAGAAGATATTTATAGTGTTTATATCTGGTTATGTCTGATTTACATTTTCATTTATGCTTTACTATATTTTCTAAATTTTTGACAGTCTATATGTACATTCCTTTTATAATCAGAAAAGGGAACTTAAAATAATTAAAATCAATTGGTCAGCTATCTAAAATAAACCACAATCGGCTGGGCACAGTGGCTCATACCTGTAATCCTAGCACTCTGGGAGCCTGAGGCGGGAGGATTGCATGAGTTCAGGACCAGCTTGAGCAAGAGGGAGACCCTGTCCCTACTAAAAATAGAAAAAATTAGCTGGGCGTGGTGATGTACACCTGTATTCCCAGCTACTAGGGAGGCCGAGGCAGGAGGATTGCTTGAGCCCAGGAATTTGAAGTTGCTGTGAACTAGGCTAATGCCACTGCACTCTAGCCTGGGCAACAGAACAAGACTCTGTCTCAAAATAAATAAATAAATAAATAAAATAAACCACAATCTCTCCAGAAAGGACTATTTGCTGGAACTTATTTTCTTTATCAAAATTAGACTAGAGTGTATAAAATAAGTTTGAATAACAATAAAATAATAACAATAATGAAAGCAAAGAAATTATCTAGGCCTAAAAGGAAATAACACAGGGCCCTATGCAGGCCTTGCTGTAGTGCCCTTGTTAGGTTGTTTCTTTGCTAATTTTTTGTGTCATTTCCTTTTAGATAGTTCATAGGCCACCTTCAAGACCCCGAGGGGCCCAACAAGAGAACTACAGCAAACCCTGAAGAGGGGCCTGTGGCTCTCCAAGGTCTGTAGACAGACTTTTCCTCTATTAACTATGAAGTATAATAGTTATTCTCATTTTATGTGTCTTTCACATGGCCAGGGCTTTGCAAATCAGGGACAAAAGTGAATTCAGAATTCAAAATTTTCAGCACAATCCAAGCTAGTAAAATATTATTAGCGTAACTCCTTTATTTTCACCATCAACTGCCAAAGAGAGGCTGATTAACCAACAGCACTAGGAACAGCACACCCACCTGTTCCGACTGCCCATCCAAAACTGTGTAGGTACTTGGGAGAATTCCCACCTCGCCCCCACTACCCAGGCCCTAGCCCTACTGATGTTATGATAGGAATCCTATCATTTTGTCCTCGTGCCAGTGGACAGAAGCCAAAGAAAGCAGTTGCCACACTGGAAGAAGTCACTGGTCCTGATCAGCATGGGAGGGAGGGCTGCTGCTTAATAGAGGCAGACAGGACATGTGTGACGCTCAGGTGATCCACTGGGCATCTCTTAATCCTCCCATGCCCAGCTGTAACTCTAAATGGGCCAGTGGAGGAACCACAGCCTGATAAGAGTCCTGGATGCTCACTACACATGCCACCAGCAAAAGTGTCAGATGGGGCGAGGGGTGTCTAGAGTGAGTGGGAGGGAGATGGCTTGAAAGTACAGCAAAGGACCGACTGCAGCAGCAGCTGGCAGACAGATTTAAGTTGGACTCTTACAATGTCCCCTAGTGGAAGTACTTCTCTTGGAAACTGAGACCTTTAGAGCCACTGGGGCTAAAGTTGCAGAGATGGGGAGAAAGAATAACCCATGTGGGGCCGGGCACGGTGGCTCACGCCTGTAATCCTAGCTCTCTGGGAGGCCGAGGCGAATAGATCGCTCAAGGTCAGGAGTTCGAAACCAGCCTGCACAAGAACGAGACCCTGTCTCTACTAAAAAAGAAAGAAAGAAATTAATTGGACAACTAAAAATATATAGAAAAAAAAAAAGAATTCCTCATGTGGGTTACTGGAGTGATAATGAGCAAGGTCACTACTCTTTTGACTTCCTGGCTCCCAGATTCTGCCTACAGGGACATAGCAGCATAAAGCAGCCATTGCTTTAAGGTA